TTATGTAATAAACAAATCGATACATGGGCGCGCGTAGATATAACATTTCTTTTCGAATGTTCAACTCGATAGCTCACTGCTCTCACTCTTGAGCTATCGAGTCAAACACTTGACGAAAAATTCCATATCTAAACGCGCTCATGTATTATTCTCTACAAAACATTGTCAGTAGATGAGTGTAAATTAAAAATACTGATTTGAAAAGCTTAATTTCTTTTAAATGCGACTCATGATTAACCAACTTCAAACAAAAAAAAGACCTTCAAAAGTATTTAATTGTTCATCTTCAAACACTAATAATTGTGATGAAATGAAAACCATAGGCTTACATTGTAATCCGAGGTAATCATCCCATTCCTTAACAATCTTTTCGCTCCTTAATCTATTCTTAGTTTTAATCCCAAGAAGTCACTTCTATAATCTTCTACAGGGACACAAACCAACGATTTTCATTTATACTCTCAGGGCATCCTACCATAACATCGGGGTTGTAGCTTTCACTGACATACTGTAACAATCGTGAATACCCCAGTCGAGAGGAAAATTAACTTTAAAAGGTAATCAGATATTCCATCGAAATGTTATGGGTCAGCGCAAGATTTCATTTGTATCATTTGATCTCAAATGCGTTGGCTTCATTTCCTCTGACGTCAAAATCTTAGCCCTTAACCCCTATGAACGATTAGCATCCTTTTTCTCCTTACACTAGCACTGCTGAATCGTACACAAAGGTTACGAGAACAGAAGAAATGATCACCAACTTAAGAAGCTCTTAATTGTCAGAAAAATTCTCCTTGTCAGCACCTTAGGAAATGTTTAGAAAACAGTATGGAGAATATACATACTGATGTTAGGGTGTAAAGGGTTAAACCAGTACGTCAAGCAGGAAATGAAAAGTGGCCGTGTTAAGCTAAGCCTTAACTGATTACACAGTTGGTCCTTTCTTGATTATAAAAATTAGGAAAACGAACTGAAACTTTCACAGAACGTTACAAATGATATAGACGTTGTGACACGAGGAAAAATATATTCTAATTTCTGCTGAAGATATTCACTGGATGATGACACCAAGCAACCCGACCCAGTACCCCTTTATCCTCGAACGTGAAATATGATGGCGGCGGATTCAAGAAATGCTTGAAAATTTATTGGAGAATATCGAGGTAGGGTGAAAACAACAGTGATAGTGTGTGGGTCAGTGACATTTTAATAAGTGTGAATTAAAACGACTTCAAGGATACTTTTTCTTTCTTTTAACGTCATAGTTAGTTGTGTAAGAATTTTATAATTTATATGAACCATATAAATACAACAACGTAGAGATCGAAAGTTCAGAATTTTACTCTTCATGGGGTGGTGTCTAAAATTTATAAAGTTCATGCAACAGATTTTTCTCCTGGTTTTTCTCATGCTGAGGGTTGCTTCTGGTTCGCAAGAACTAATGCTCTCGAGAGTTACGGCATAACTGAGCATAAACGGAAACTCTTTCTGTATTCTATTTTCTCTGAGCCGCTAATTTATATTAACTCTTTAACCATTAAGAATGACAAGCATCTCATTTCTCTTTACAATATCACCCCTAAATCAAACATTAAGGTCACGAGAATAAAGGAAATGAGCACCAACCAAAGAAGCTTTAGATTGTTAAACAAATTCTCCTTGTCAGCACCTAAGAGAATGTAAAGAGAACAGTATGAAGAATATACATTCTGATGTTATAGTTTGAAAAGGCTCAATCAGTCAGACTAAAATCCCAGATTTTGGAAACGTGAGAACGTGGCCCAGTGACAGGATATGACGAACGCTTCATTGAAATATTTGCGACAGTTTGAAGTAGCAATTTTAAACTTCTCTTTTGTTAAGTTAAACAACCATTCATGTTAACATACTTTAATTCAAGAAGGGAATTCGAAATACTTGAACAGACCTATCACCCATGTTCAATGGCTCAGTGTCATTAGGAAATGTGCAAACTCACTGAGATTTATTAGACGAGGAGAGGAACTTCTCACTTAGGCTGTTCGAAGCGAACAAAATGTCGAGATATTTACCTGTGTAAGATAGTCATCCTACGGGGCTGGTCTAGAATAAATAAGAAACCTTGTGTGTCAAAGTTAAAAATGTAACTATAAAATTATTTACAGGGTAATTTAGTATTATCAACCGAGTCAGAGCAATTGGAGAAGGGCTAATGCTCTAAAAGTCATCTTTAAAACTCTCTACGATGGCCAATTAACGTTATGAACTCCGTTGATAATACTGACTTAATTACTTTGTTATACTCTCCCACAGACGCAACACCACAGTTTCTTTAGAAAATTACCCTCTTTGTTAAATTATTTGATTGTTCATCTTGAAAAAATTGAAATTGAAAAATGTCTGTTAAAAATAAAAACTAGACCCTGAATTCCTTAGGGTATAGAGGAGCAAATAGACTTGAAGACGTAATCGGTAAACTAAATAGAAATTTATCGGTCAGCTCAAGATTTTACTCGTATGTTTTGGTATCAGTTGCGACGGCTTAAGTTCCCTGCTATGGAATTTAACTCTTACGAGTGGATAGCATCCCATTTCTCCTTCTTTTATCACTGCTGAATCAGTCAAACATTAAGGTAAAAAAATAGAGGAGATAATAGCCAATGAAAGATTATAAAGTTTATAATCTCTTGTCAGTAACTAAAGAAGCTTTGATTGTGAAATAAATTCTCCTTGTCAGTACCTTAGGAAATGTATAGAGAACAGTGTGGAGAATATAGATGCTGATATAGGGTATAAAGGTTTAAACCATTAAGTCAAATAAGAAAGAGAAGAGATCGTGTCGCGTTAAGTCGAATTAGCGCTTTTTCGCCACCTCAATTATACTGCAAGGTTTGTGTCTTTTTGATTAAAAAAAACTTAATATTAATAATAATAATAATAATAATAATAATAATAATAATAATAACAATAATAATAATAAACGTTATCCACAGGCTCCCCGGGACGTCATTCAGTCTACACCCGCACGAGTGCGATGCGAGTAGACTCGGCATCATCCCTTTTCAGATTTATTAAAAATAAAGGTTATCAGGCATGGAAAGGCTGCTAAGGCTATAATGTATTGAGTTTGTTTAGGCACTTGACAAATTGAAAAGGCTTGTCGTGAATTTTTTTTTTCCAACTAACAAAAAATGCTGCCGAAGAGTGAAATGCAGCTCAAGTCATAGAGATTAAAGTGAGGGCGAATCTATCATTAACTAACCTCTTCTTCTGTAATCACATAGCTTATTTGGAATATTTTACAGT